GAAAGGTTAATATATGTTCCATATAGTTTATTTCAAACTAGAGGCCCAGTGAACGAAATTCGAGCACGGGTGCGGTTCCTAGTCTGGGCTGGCGATTGAAGCGCGAGCGTCTGGTGTGGAAGGGCAGGTCCCAGCTGACCTTTGGGCCTTGGGCAGCACCTGAGCCCCTGTGCGCCCCCTTCAACCTGAGTCACGGCACCCAGAGATGCAGTGAGCACAGCTGGACGCCACAGGCCGGGGCGCAGCGTGGGCTGCTGGGCCGCCTAGCGGTGCTGCACAGAAGCTGGGTGAGCAGTGCGCTCTCTTCTGGCCAGCCTTGCAGACCGGCTTCTGTGTGAACCCATGGGGAGCCTGACTGGCCCCTGAAGTCCCAGCGGCTGCAGCCCAGCTCATCTAGAAGAGGTCACGCAGATGCCCAGCACCTGAGTGCTGGGGCTTCCCTGGCGCGCAAGCCCTGGCGTCCCAAGGGAGGTTAGGAGGGGGAGTGAGAGCGAGTTCAGTGGACACCCCGTATTCTCACTGCACTTCCATCCCCGTCACTCCCACCCCCAGGTAGCTGGCGAGAGGTTGCAGTCCCCCTCCCAGGTGCCACGGGAGGTTGGTCGCCACCACCCACCTCCAGTTCCCCATTCCAGCCTGGGGCCTGGCCCTGATCGGGTGATCAGGGCCTGCTGGCCGCTGGTTGCTGTCTGTGGGGCCATCAGTTAGGGCCAGGCTCCCAGCATGGCTCCCTCAGTGCTTGGGAGCCAGGTGGCAGCCCGATGCTGCTGCTGGTCGCCATCTGCGGGGTGATTGGCGGGGCAGTCGGGTCCCGCTCGCACCGGCCTTGGCTGGCGCTGCCTGCTCACCTGCTCCACCATCCTGCCTCGGTCCCACTCTCATTGGGGCTCACTGGGGCCCGTCGGGGCTTATCGGGGCTGGCAGCGCTCCACTGCTGCCCGCTGCCAGCACTGCGCTGTCCCATGCCACCCCACATCATAGCGAGCGGTCGAACTTCCGGTTGAACTCCTGGTCGAAGAATTTGAATATTAGGCTTTTATTATATAGGATTTACTGATTGCTCCTAATGCTTGATAAAACATAAGTTATACTGTTGCAAGAATTTCTATAAAAATAACAATAAAAACAAGACAAACATTTATAGGCTTTAGGTATTTAGAGCATCAGTAAGACGTAGTTTGAATGAGTCTGTTGGTTTTTATTGGTTTTCACTTTGTGTGGACATACTTGATTTGACTTTGCTATAAGAAGGTTATTTACTTTTGTAAATCATTTTTTATGGTTTTTAGCCAGTAGAAGATAGGAGGCGTGTTCGAGCCATTCTGCCTTACACAAAAGTTCCAGATACTGATGAAATAAGGTATTTATAACATATTCTCATTTATTGGCATTTGAAAGACTTTGCTAACTTATTGCTCTTGGATCAGAAAGGTTTTGGAATTTGAGGAAATAACATGCAGCAAGGTAAAGGTGCTTTTAATATTGAATCTGATGTTTTGTAATCATAGTTGGCTTATCTGTTTAGATTGTGGATTTGGATCAGAGTGGCCACAGTGAAGATGACAGGAGAAATAACTTAGCTTTTATTAGACTATCTCTGAAAGTAAGGAGAGTTCTGTTATATTCTATACTCTATTTTAATTTTTATTACTACAAGACATCTGTGTCTCAACTGTTCATGATAATACTAAGACATTTGCCTTTTTCAATGTGACATTTGCACTGATAGTACAAAAGCAATTGACAGTAAAACTGCTGGCCTTAGCACAAATCAAGATAGTAGCTGTATACCAAGCATGTCAAACTAGCAGCCCATGGGCCACATGTGGCCCACAACAAATATTTTTGAGGTCCAGCCAATATAACGGTATGTAAGAAATGTTTTAATAAAAATTTTGTAACTTAATTTTTACAATATCCTGTTATATATAATCTATAATAATAAAAGCATAATAAGCTAATTAGACTGACATCCTTCCAGATGAAGCTGGGACTGCAAGGGAAGCCCCGGTCCCAGGTGCCTGCTGGCAGCCGGAGTGAAGCCCGGGCTCCGGGTGCCAGAGGGAAGCCGGTGCCGGCAGCCAGGGCAAGGAAGGCCTACTCTTGCACGAATTTCGTGCATTGGGCCTCTAGTTATTAACAATGAACTACAACGTTCACTAATGACTGATTACTATAATCGTGTTGCATTCATTTCCCTTATGCCCCTTATGTGCAGGCGCACCATATCTCTCCACAAATACTAGCAGCAAATATTTTAGCAGACGATTGCCACACCATCAGTCTTGTACTGACTTGTTTGGTGTGCGCAACAGGAAATATTTCCCTTTCGGAGAATAAGAAAAATAGGTTTATTTGTGTTACACTTATTAATTTGTACAGTTATTCAGTTGTCTGGTAAGTTAATGTTCAAGAAAAATATTAATTTTTATTAAAATGTTCTATTATTTTATGTTAACGATTATTCATTTATTTCAGCCCCTTTTATTCAGCATGTCTCTGTCGAAATAAACCTACATTCCTATGAAAATTGAAGCTTTTGTTTTTTTTGTGGCCCACATAAACTTGAACCTTGTTTATTTGGCCCATGTTAGCCTTTCAGTTTGACATGCTTGCTGTACACATTTGCAGTTAGACAAACAAAAAAGCCAGTTTCACTTAAGGTTGTTGTTGTTTTATTATTAATTCTCACCCGAGGATATTTTTCTGTTGATCTATTTTTTATTTTTTATTGATTTCAGAGAGGAAAGGAGAGGGAAAGATAGAAACATCAATGATGAGAGAGAATCATTGATTGGCCGCCTCCGGCATGCCTCCCACTGGGGATCGAGCCCGCAACCTAGACATGTGCCCTTGACCGGAATCAAACCTGGGACCCTTCAGTCCGCAGGCCAATGCTTTATCCACTGAGCCAAACCAGCTAGGGCTTTCTATTGATTTTTAAAGAGAGTGGAAGGGAGGAGGAGAGAAAGAGAAATATTGATGTGAGAGAGACACATTTGGTCATTTGCCTCCCTCATGAGCTCCCACCAGGACCAGGGATTCATCCTGCAACCATTGTATGTGCCCTTGACCAGAATCGAACCTGGGCCGGACCTTTCTGTCCAAGGGCTGATGCTCTATCCACTTAACCAAACTGGCTAGGGCTTAAGATTGTTCTTGATGAGACAGTAAGAAATATTTATTTTATTAAATCTCAACCCTTGGCTATGCCTCTTTTTTTTTTTTAAAGTAAGTTTACCTTTTTTTAAAAAAATTTTTTTTTATTGATTTTTAGAGGGAGAGGGGAAGGAAAGGGAGAGAAAGAGAAACATTGTTGTGAGAGTGCAACATTGATTGGCTGCCTCCTGCCTGCCCCTTTACAGGGAATTGAGCCCATAACCCAGGTATGTGCCCTGGTTGGGAATTGAACTGGCAACCTTTCAGTGTAGGTGACGATGCCCAACCAACTGAGGCACACCAGCCAGGGCACTACGCCTCTTGTAAATATTCTGTGTGATGAAATGGGAAGTACTATACGAATAAAGCGAGCATATCCGCTGTGAAGTTCAGTATCTTGAGGAATAGCAGTGGGTTCAGAGCTGAAAGAGGTGCTGCTTTTGTGCACACCATTTTTACTTAAGACAATGACTGAGAGGCAAACTATGGTTATTCATTCTCAAGTATTTGACTTTTTTTTTTTTTTTTTTTAAAAAAGAAAAGGGAAGTGAGTATGTTACTTCAAGGGAGATAACTGGCAGTATTTTGTTGCCAGTGACAAAATTTAATTTGAGCTTTCAAGCAAAAATTAGAATTTTGGAAATCTTATATCTGCCTTCAGGAATTTGACAGCTTTCTAAATATGTAATGAGAGTGGTAGAAATATTAATGTGATGTTTTGATAGTGTATAATGTGTTTACATCTGGAAGATCTGCATAGCTCAGTGAATCAGTATTTTCTAAATGATCCAGCATGATGTTACAAAATTATGTATAAGTAAAAGATCCATTCAAAGTATGAGATCCACAAATGATTATCATTGGAATGGGTAGAGAAAGTTTATTGATATATAGTTTTGGATTCCACATTACAACTAACGTTAAAGAAAGTGACACTTGTTGAGTTTTTGTTAAAATATCATCTGTAATTATCTGAAAGGCTATTAAAATATCACTTTCACAACTACATATTTGTGTGAAGTCACATATTCTTCATGGACTTTAAGCAAAATATCATATTGCAACAGATTAAATGAAAAAAAGATATGAGAGTCCATCAGTTTTTAGTTAAGCCAGACATTGAGATTTGCAAAAACATAAAACGTGAATATTCTCACTAAACTAAAAAAAAAAACTATATATAATTATTTTTCATACTCTTTGTTACTATGTAATGGGGTATATTATTATTAGTAGCAGTAGTAGTAAAGGAATTAGTATATATTTTAAAATATTTATATTTCAAATTCTAATATGATTAAGTATCAACAGCTATAACCCATATAAATAAAAACCTTTTAAAGTATCAATTTTTAAGAATGTAAAGGTGTCCTGAGAGACTGCCTCAGAATCGAGAAATACTGATCTAGGAAGATGAAAATTTTAACAAGAATTTGAATTGTATACATTTTAATTTTACTATATAAATATGTATGAAATTAAGAGTCTTTGAAATTTGGATATACCTGTGAAGTTTTTTAGGTAAAAATATCTGAAGATTGATGAGATTTAGCAAAGCACTTTAACCCCTTATGGTGAAAAATGCAGAATAATATAGAATGAATCTTTTAATTATATTGTTTGTGCTAGTAAGTTTTTTAATTTTTAATTTTTTGTGTGTTTTTGCAACATAAAAAGTTAGTAGTATAGCAACAATGACAGAAGCCAAAAATAAAGTAAAAACTCAGATGACTGCTTTTGACCAATAAATGACACTTGTCACTTCTCATTTCTCTTTTTTCTTGTCCATATGTACTCCCTTTTTTACTAATTAATAACTATTTTATTGAATGTATTAATGTAGTTGGTTTTAAAATGGAAAAATTTACTTTTAAGTGTTAAAGTCTGCTTCTATTCAGCTAGTAAAATATTGGTTACCATTAACAAGATTTGTAGAAATCAAGATAGAATGCACACAGCCCCCCAACCTCCCTGAAGGGATTATGCAGGGGAAAAATATAGTATATATGACACATAAAGAAGGGCCAACAACTGTTGTATGGTGACAGCCAGAGGGAAAGGGGGGTGGGAGGAGGTAGAAACGGGCAAAGAGGGGGGATAAATGGGTAGGGAAAGAGACTTGACTTTGGGTGGTGAGCACATGATGCAGTGTGCAGATGATGTTTAATGAGTTGTACACTTGAAACCTATATGGTTTTATTAACCAATGTCACCCCAATAAATTTTTTAAAAGTAAAATAAAAGTAAGCAATTTAAAAGATAGAATGCTGTATTCCCTGCTTATTCAAATTGAGTACCACATCTAAAGTGTTGTATACAAGAATTTTGTTCTTAAACTTGTCCAAAAAACCGTGAAGCTTGAGACAGCCTGGAAAAAAGTTTTTTAGATTTACCTAATTGAACTTCAGTTTGTGAATATTAAGATTGAAAGAAAAATGGGTAAAGAAATATATGACACATATGGATTTTGAAATAGGATCAATGGTAGTATCCTACCAATCTTGAAACCTTAAGCCTTCAGAGGCATTTATTTATTCAAGCCTAAAAAGAAAAGTTCAAGGAATTACTGATGGTTTTATATTGATGACATACATCAACAACATATTTCTCCTGTGATTGTGTGGAGGTTGAAAACATCTAGATTCCTATGAGAAGAAACTAGGTAGTATAGGCATCCCTCTACTCAGAAATAGATAACAAAAAAAAACATGCATGTGTCCTCATAATATATTTCTTGGTACCACTTTTAAAGAAAGAATGCTATACTTGTTGGCTCATGGATGTCTGAATGAATTAAATAAAACAATATTTTTAATAGAATATTATTAATTCTTATAAGCTTTTTCATGATAAGGCTAATTGTGTGTATGTCAAATAAACTTTTTCTAAAGTAAGTATCTTGTGTATGTATAATGAGTTAATTATTTTGTGTTTATAATTTTTTATCTAATTTACCTCTGAAAGATAACATTGACACTTAAATTTTCAAGTTCAGGTTTCTTGGAGTTATACCCCAAAGCCTACAGTACACATATAATTATTGTTTACAAAAATTCCAATTTGAATCTAACCTTAATCCAATGATACATATAGTCCAGGGACCTTTATTAATCTGTTTTACCCACGAGGAAATTAATTCAGATTTTTTAAATTATAAAACATTTTACTTGTAGATAATGCCAGAAATAGGACAAAAATCTCAGGGTATTTGACTCTAATCTGTTGCATTTTCCAGTATCATATTATCTCTGTGGTGTGTTACATGATTACTCAAATTTTCAAGTTTAAAATTTTTAATGTCAATACCTTTATACTTGCTCTTTTCAGTTTCTTAAAAGGAGATATGTTCATCGTTCATAATGAATTAGAAGATGGGTGGATGTGGGTTACAAATCTAAGAACAGATGAACAAGGCCTAATTGTTGAAGACCTAGTAGAAGAGGTGGTAAGTTTTGTTCTGTTCTTCTCACTCTCAGAATTTTAAATTTTTGTAAAATTGTGGAACTTGTCTATAATCAGGGAAATCATCTATGAATACATTTTTATCTATAATAAACCTCAATTTACAAATTTTTATTAAAATGTATTTTCTATTAGTGATAGCTATTTATTTATTAAAAACATAGCCAAGATGGCATGTTTTGATCTATAGCTGCCAATTTTCAGGTTTCATGAGTTTCTAAGAATTAAAAAAATGTATTAGCATTTGTGCTTATTTGTCTTCTTGATATTCCTCATAATTGATGTTATGTCACTGATCATTGAATCTCAAATTCTTTGTCTCCCAAATCTACGTATAATTTTTTAGTAACCTTGGAAAAACTCAGTTATATTATACACATATTATCATATGGTTCTACATTTTAAATATTCCCCTTGTTTTTATTGTCATCACATAATACATTATTAGTAACAGTATAAGTAATCATGTTTGCACATTTTCAGGTAGGAGGTCAGCATTCCAGCAGCATTTGCATTTCAGAGACAATACTAAAAGTATCACTGAAACATAGCAAACGTTATTTTACAAATTTGCAATACCCTTGCCTTTTGGATTTGTCCAGAAAAATGGAATTTTTTTTGTCACCTTTTACAACCCTCAGAGCTAATGTTTTTATTTTTTTATTTTATTTTGTTTATTTTTCCTTGATTTTTAGAGAGAGTGGAAGGGAGGGGGAGAGAGAGAGAGAAAGAGAAAGAAATAGCGATGTGAGAGAGATACATCGATTGGTTGCCTCCCACATGTACCCCAACCAGGGCCAAGGACCGAGCCTGCAACGGAGGCTTTACCAAAATCGAACCCGGGACCCTTCATTTTGCAAGCCAGTGCTCTATCCGTTGAGCCTACCCAGCCAGGACTAATGTTTTTAAATTATGCCATGAACCTGGAAATAAGCTGTGAAACCTGTGCTCTGATTATTGTTCCAGGAACATGGCAGTGGAAAATATTTTTCTTTGCTATTCTCTTGTCTGCCTATTCTGGCAGCCAGATCTTGATATATAGAAGTAAGTTATATGAGAAGTTAAGGGAATGGTATGATATATTCTATACTCATAGTCACATAGTTATTTAGTAGAAGAACCATGATTAGAATTTCGAATCCTTAGATTAGTATTCTGTGTTCTACAGTAGGAGAGATATTTATTCCATATAGGCAAGAAGTGTTCAAACTGAAGAAACTTACTACCTGTATTGGTTTTACTACAAAATTTCTTAGTTAAAACTTTTATGTTGGAATTTTCTCCTCCTGCTGTAAACCCCCCCCCCTCCCCCCCTTTTTCTGGTTATTTAAAGGAATTACAGTATAATTAAACTTTTCCTGAGTGTTTTGGAATTCTGGGTCAAATTTAGCAAGATAAACTTTATTAAGAATAAGTGAAAGTTACCTAATGAGTACAGATGGAAAAAAAATTGCTCAATTTAAGATAAGGAGACATGACCTAAAATCTATACAAGGAAAGGGGAAAAAAAAAGAGCGAGAGAGAGAGAGAGAGAAAGTTAACTCAGTATGAGTAAACAGTGTGAAAACAGTGTGATGTGCCTTCTAAAAATGAATATAATAATACTTTGAATTACTAGTGACCTAGTTACAAGTTGGAGTTATAAAAAATCTTTTACTCTTAATATTCAGAATAAATTTTCATAATGATCTTCATTGGAATATAGTGATGATTCCTTGTAGATTGAAAAGCCATCAAAGAATGTCTAGATTTCAGGCATTCAATTCAGTTGGTGATTGGATTTAAATAGTTTCCCACTCTGAAACTCTAATTACTGTTCTCCAGGCACATTTAGACTTTCATGTTTTAACTCTAGAATGTAAACTGAGTTTTGTCTCTGACTCAGTTATGTATCCCCATTGCCTTGAATAGTGTCTGGCATTAGTAGGCATTCAGTAAATGCTTGTTGAATGAATGATTGTCTCTGTGTCTATTCTTTTCCCTCTTCCTTGACATTTCTGCCCTGCTATGCTGCCTTGTAAAATTGATCATCTTTATCCGTTCAGTTTAGGTGTTGCCCTTTCTTTCACAGAGGTTTTATGCATTTCTAGATTTTCTTAGGCTAAATTGTTCCATCTTGTGTTTCCATAGCACCTTAATTTTATATTTCATTACATTATAAAACATTGATTTATTGTGTAAACCTCTTCTGTAGAGATTAACTCCTTTTGGACAATGGTAATATATTATGTTTTTATGTAATGTTTTCTAGTACACTGCTTTTTAATATAATGGGCATTCAGTGAATGTTTGATTTTAGTTTGGTTAGGTATTTAATGAGTGAGAAGTATATCCATATATACAGTCAGGTCATTTTTCTATTCTCTTTCATTATTCATTGAAAACTTAGTGCCAGGTACTAAGCTTGGTAAAACTACAGTTCAAGTTATACTGGGTATGGCAAAAGGTTTACAGTTGTTCACATGGAAAATAATACAATAATTAGCTCTGTGTTTTGTGCACTTACAGCTATAAACCTATTCTTGTCCTGCCCTGTATTTTCAGTGAAAATTATATGCCTAGCATTGTGCTAGTGGTTGTGTTGCTGATGAATGTTAACAAAGAAGCACTAAGAGTTTAAGATGCTTATAGTCACTATAATAGAATGAATAACACTGGTATATCTTAAATAATAGGAGTGTCAAATAAAGTAAGATAAAGTTCAAAAGATGATAAAAAAAGGATGTCCTTTCTATTCCAAGTAAAATTTCATATTTACATTTTACGGACTCAGTTCCTCACTTATAAGATGGTGTTTCAGATAGATCCTGTCTAGATGGTTTAGGTTTTAACTAACAGGAAGCAGTGAGTGGAAAGGACATTTTAAGTAAAATAAGTTCAGTGTTGGGAGAATGTAGATAAGCAAATAGGTAAGTTATGTGTGACAGTGGAATAGATAACTTAAAGAGAATTGTTAGCATGAGAATGGAAACATAGGTTTGAGTCATATGATAAAGGATTTTGGTTGTAAAATGAGGAATTTGTTAGGCAGTAGAGGGGTATTAAAGGTTTGGTTTTAAAAAATGTATTTGTTTTCATCTTGGTGTTTCTTAATGTAAGATAAACTGATGAATCCAGATTGGAGTGGCAGGGTAGGGCACTAGTTGGGCTACTGTAATAGTTTAGGAAAAGAGCCTGAATTAGAGTAGTCACAGTAAGTAAGAAGAATAAGGAGAGAGTTTTTGTAAAGACATTTCTGCAACAGAAACACCTTTATTTATATATAAATATTAAGGGCAGGGTAGAAATGTTTCAAGGTATGATTTTTATTAATTTAAAAATAGATTAATAGTTAATTATATAAAATACTGTCTTAATGTCTTTCCCTTTAGGGCCGAGAAGAAGATCCACATGAAGGCAAAATGTGAGTTTGTATTAATTATTAAAAGGGGGGTGGGGGGGGAATTGTAAACCTACTAATTGGGTAACTTTGGACAAAAAATATTTTTTTAAAAATTGATACTTTGCAGACTGACTTAAAATTTATCTCATTTCGCTTAGGAACTGCTGTTTAAATATTTTCTTGAGAACCTAGTGATAAAGTGTTATTTTAAAATAATGAAGGTGGTTTATACCTATATATAACTCTTTTATCACTAAACTAAAGACTCTTCAGTAAACATTACATTAATAACATTATGAATGTCACAATTCCTTATATTTTTTTATTGATTTATTAATAGCATTTTTTGTTTTCATCACCATGCTTTTTTATGTAGTTTACTAGAGGCCCGGTGCATGAATTCATGCACCATTGGGGTCCCTCGGCCTGGCCTGTGGGATCAGGTCAAAACTGGCTCTCCAATATCCCCCGAGGGGCCATGGATTGCGAGAGGGCACATGCCAGGCCGAAGGACCCCACCAGTGCACGATCGGGGCCAGGGAGGGATTCGGGAGGTTGGCCAGCCGGGGAGGAACCGCGGGAGGGCTCTAGGGTATGTCTGGCCTGTCTTGCTCAGTCCCAATGGGCCAGACCCCAGCAGCAAGCTAACCTACCAGTTGGAGCATCTGCCCCCTAGTGGTCAGTGCATGTCATAGCGACTACTCTACTGGTTGACTGTCTGCCCCCTGGTGGTCAGTGTATGTCATAGCAAGGGGTTGGGCGGCCTTAGCATATCATTAGCATGTTACACTTTGATTGGTTGAACGGATGACCGGACACTTAGCATATTAGGCTTTTATATAGGACTAGAGGCCCAGTGCACAAAATTCGTACACTCGGGGGGGGGGGGGTCCCTCAGCCCAGCCTGTGCCCTCTCTCAGTCTGGAAGCTGTCAGTCGGACATCCGGTGAGAGAGGCTCTCGCTACAGCTGCTGCACTTGCCAGCTGTGAGCCGGGCTTCTGGCTGAGCAGCACTCCCCCTGTGGAAGTGCACTGATCACCAGAGGACAGCTCATTCGTTGAGCATCTGCCCCCTGGTGGTCAGTGTGCATCATAGTGAACAGTCGTTCTGCCCTTCAGTCGATTTGCGTATTAGCCTTTTATCACAAAGGATGATTCAAGTATTTGAATGGGTGGGTAGAGAACTTTTCCTCCAGATCATTGTTCTTTCCCATATAAGACTCTGCAAGGACTTTCTTTTCATAATCTTTTTAGGCTGATTTTATGTATCTTGTAAGGGCTAATTCAAAGACCAAGCATTACTACACTGCTACTTGCCACATTCATCTTTTATATTCCAGAAGTTATTAACTGTAACCAATAACCTCTTATGGGAAATCACTCTATGTGGTGTTTCAGCTTTGCTTTAATTGTATTATTGTTCTTGAAAATCTTAACTTTGTGGGTTTTTTTGGTGTTTATTTATTTATTTATTTTTTATTTAGAGAGAGGGATTTGTTGTCCCACCTATTTATGCTTTCATTGGTCGTTTCCTGTATGTGCTCTGACCTGGGAACCAAACCCGCAACCTTGGCTTATCAGGAAAACACTGTAACCGTCTAAACTACCTGGCCAGGGCTAAGATCTGAACTCTTAATCCCAATTCTGTTTGACTCATTTTAATAAACTTCATCTTCTAATATCTTTTTGGTGGAACATTTTTTTCATGTCATTCTGTTAGCATTAATCGGTGGAATTTAAAGCTTGCCTCTCAAATATTTGCTTATTTTGTTTCTGATCATTAGAACATAAAACATTAAGCTAAATACTCCACTTTATTTAGTTCCCCACCCTTCCTTCAGTGGAATATGAGGTTTTTTTTATGAGTTCACTTTCTGTATCTTTCTATGTTGCTGCAAAATAGGCTCCATCAGTGAAACCGTACCTTATTGACTCTATTAGTTTGAAGTCTCCCTACTATCAGGAATTACAGATTCTAATGAGTGCCTGGAGGGTACATACAGATAATATAAACAAATGAAATGGACTAGTTGTATATCTCATTTTTTTCAAATTAAAATATCCTTGATCCTTATTTTCTCTCCTGATAGAGATCAAGGTACATGGAAACAACATTGTGGTAATAAACAGCAACTGGCACCCACTCTTTACATTAGGGAAGACTGAGGGGATTAAACAACTAGAAAGTGTTTGCTTGCAGTATGGTAACCCCTCTAACTGATGTGTGCAAGAATGGGAGTCTAGTGTTGTGAAATCCTCTTGTATTTCAAGAGAAGCTAGAAATATATATTTTTATCCCTATTAAAATAATACCATATATTTATTTAAAAAAAAATGTCAAATGTTAGTAAATATTTAAAACAATATCCAGTTTTCTTGTAGCATAGAAAGTATTATTCCCACTTTCACTTGGAAATCATTTTTTATTTAATAACATTGCAATTATTCAGTTTTTTGAACTTTATAATTCTCTATTCATTAAGTATTTAGCATAAGCTAAATTTGCATTGTTGGTTTATGTATTTGTCATCTTCTTCTAATTTCTTAAGGTGGAGACTGGCAATGAAGCATCCTCAGTAACGCCCATCAGTGCCCTTTGAGATTAAATAGGTGGTATAACTTTAGCCGTGGTTTTTCCAGCTCCCTATTTCTGTAATATAGGTGCCAAGTCCTGATAATTTTATCTTCTAAAACATTTCTTGAATGTTTGCCTTCTTCTCAATCTTAACTGTATTCTAGTTCAGGCTCTTTTCATCTCTTACCAGGACTTGATGTAGCAATAGCCTCCAAGTTGGTCTTCCTTAATACTTTAGCTTCTGCAGATCCTTTCTTCTGATAGAATTATCTGTCTAAAACATGTATCTGACTGTATCACTTTATCACTTAAAACTTTTTAATGGTTCTCTACCATCTTTACCTGGTAGAACCTAAAAGGATTCTCTGATCTAGCTCTTGTGCCCTTTTCTAGTCTCTCTCTTATCATTTCTAGTATTATACTCTCCAGCTTGTAGATCTTCAAATGCATACTATTGTTTTTCTCCTTTGCACAAGGTACCTCCTAGGCCAGAAATCCCCTCCATTGTTTTTGGTTAATTCCTATTAAAGACTTAACTCATATATCACTCTTCCGAAGAAGTCTTCCTTTACTGTATGCTCTCTACAGAATTGGTGCCCCTTCTCTGTTATTCCAAAAGTGCCCTGAGCACATAATTTTCTTTCACTATGCTTTATTACTTTTTCTACATTGTTTTTATAGTTATACAGTATTTGTGTCACTTTTTCTTACTAGTATGGGGACTAACTAAAAAAAACAGGTTGGTCTTTCTGTTGGTGGTACAAACTGTGTGCTTGAAATATATACATGTTACATATAGGGAATAAATGTATGAATGAAGAAACTCAAATCTAATCCTTTCAGAAAACGATATTACCGATTTGTTCTCTAAACTTCATTTGCTGTCCCTCCTCCTTAGAATTCCCTTTCCCCCTTTATTCTAGCTATGTAAATATAGGATTGGCCTTGGAGGTCATTTAGTCAACTCTTCCCTGGAATATAGGAATCCTGTCTTAGCATTTGTAGTAAATAATCATTTAGAATATAATTGAGTGGAATATAGAACCTTACTACTTTTTAAGACCACCCAGATTGCTCCTGTTGTTGTGTATTTGGCTTTGCATTGTTCATAATTTGCATTGAGAGTCCCAGGAGATCTGTTAATGGTTGGCATAGAGTTAAAGAGATAATTTAAAAGTTTAACTTCCCATTCATTCACATTTCATGTGAAAAGGTAGAAATTCAGTTACATTTTAATACTTTGATCAGTAATAGTATGGATAGTTTAAAACAGTGTGAATAGCCTCTAAACCTGTAACATTGGATTTTAGAGCACTTACATTTTTATTCTGGTAGTATTTCTATTTTCCAATTTGCTCTTTATGCCACTATTAAAGGCAATTGTAGACCCTAAGAATATATGGCAAAGTGGTAGAGAGTTGATCTGGAGTTGTCATCTATTAAATCTTATTTTCTGATTTTCAGTAAACTCTGAATCAGCCTTATTTTTTAATTTTTATTTGAAAGAGAGAACTTATCACATATTATATGGAAATTCACTTTGAGAGAAATATGAGAAGAATGTCTACCTTTTTTTTTTTTTCTGGTTAATTTTGTAGTGGGCTCTACCTATACCACCCCTTCCTTCCAATAAAAAGAAAAGAGAACACTAGCTGTGATGTAAGGATGTAACAGTTTGTCATTATCAGGATTAAAATCATTGCTGTTTTTGTATTGGTAATTAATATGGAAATTGTAGTTCATACTAGATAGTTCCTAATTTTTCTTTTGTTGAATTTATGCATGTTTATAAAGTGTTGTAACTTAGATGTAAAAGGAATGAGATAATTGATCACTTGTATTGCATTTATTTTATCAGTTTGAATTATACTTAACAGCCAAAAATACTGTTCTCTTTTTAAGATGGTTCCATGGGAAAATTTCCAAGCAAGAAGCTTATAATTTACTAATGACAGGTACTCGTATATTCACTTGCCTTTTCTGATGTCTTCATTTAAAAATACTTTAAAAAAGCAAACCAACTATTTTAGTATGTTATTTTGCCTTTATCATTCATTTGATATTTATGCATATTGTAATTTCTTACCCAGCACTGAGAAACTTGTGTTTTTGTTTTTTGGTGTTTTTCATTCAAAGCATACATGCAGTATAACATTCAGTAAACTATGTTTTCCTTCTGCCTCAGGCCCCTGTCCTCTTCTTCTCCAAAAGCAGCACCAGATGAGAGGGTTTTTGTTGTTGTTTCTGAAGTTTTCTGTCTCTTCCTTACCCCTAAACACACCCTACACATACCACCCTACACACACTCATAGAAACATACAACATACTTTTTTTCATATTAGAATATATTTGGGGAAATTGTGTCATATTTGCATATATAAATTTTCATTTCTCCTTTTTAATGATCATGAGCTTTCCATTGTATAAAAACCATAATTTACAATCATTGTTTTAATTATTATTATTATTATTTGCTATTTACCTGCAGCAAATGTTACTGCATTTATCTTTCTGCACTTATAGAATTATGTAACTGGACTTTTAGAATATATTAATTTGAACATTTCCCAAATTGTGGTTATAGAGATATGCAATGTAACAACTGACTTCTGCTGTGAGTTTATATTTAAAACAAAAACTATTCTGTCATCATCCTAACTAAATATTTAAGACAAAATTATTTAACTACCAAATATTTCTTCAGCAAACCATACCATATTAGGATCCGAAACAAGTTACATGCAATCTGTAATTTAGAATTCTTCGTTCTTTAAAGAACAACCAGAGTTCAAGAGTTTCTATGTTTTCTGTATGTGGTAAATAAACTACTGATTGTTAAAGATGTTATCTGAGTTATTTGGAGCCATAAGGCATTGCATTTTAATGTAGTTACTGCGTTGCTCTTTTGAAAAATTTGAGGCAGTTTTAGAACTGTTCAATTTTATTGTGAGGATGTCGGTTAACTAGGTTAAAAATAAAGAACATGATAATGCTATTTGGTAGTAATGAAGGCCAAATGCTCAACCAAAATGACATGCTATCAGCTTTCAGTGGGACCAAAATATTTATTTTGTGAATTTACTGAATTTTGGGTATAGGTTTATATGCACACCACCAAATACTTGCACTCACTGTTGTTTTTATTTTTATTTTTTTAATTTTTAAATATATTTTATTGATTTTTTACAGAGAGGAAGAGAGAGTGATAGAGAGTTAGAAACATTGATCAGCTGCCTCTTGCACACCTCCTACTGGAGATGTGCCCGCAACCAAGGTACATGCCCTTGGCCGGAATCGAACCTGGGACCTTTCAATCCGCAGGCTGACGCTCTAGCCACTGAGCCAAACCGGTTAGGGCTCACTGTTGTTTTTAGGCATATAAAGTTGAAAGGAGGTAAACTTAATTTCCTTACATTAGTCTTTTGTTTTTATTGGATATGTGCTCTTTAAGAATCTTGTGATTTTTCTCCCCTGAAAAGTACACAAGCACTTGCATACACAATTTTGCATTAATTCCACTTCTTTATATTGAACATGAAATGACTTGGTAGTAAGTGCCTGGGTGGAATGATTGGAACAATTTGTAATTTACATAAAAATTAAGTCTGATATTTTGAGTGTTCATTGTGTTTTCCTAAAAGCAAGCAAGTTCTGATTTATGTGATTAGGATTTAAACAGAGAGAAGGCAAATGCATCTTAGTGTTGAGTCACTGCCAATTAAAGATATCAAAAAGACGTCTCTAAAATTAATATGAAAATATTTTATATATAATGATTTGCTTCTATATGACTTTTCAGGACTGTAACTATTGAATAAAATATAGTGCATGTGTACTGATTTCTATAAGTTGTGCAAATATTTCAATTGTTTTGAATTTATCTTTGTAAGCTTTTGTTACCATTTTATTATAGTCTCTACTTTTTAGTGTTTAATCAGAAGCATTGATAAAGTATAGAATATTCTTAAGCAAAATTCACTGTAACTTTTTTAGATTTTTCTTTACTAAGTGGATTTACAAAAAATGTGGCATTTTTAACTAGTATCCCCTAACTGTGCATAGATTATTTTTTTCCAAGTTTGACAGGTATTGACATTATTATCCAGTAGTCACTGTTGCAAACTTCTGTCCTGTATTATATAATAAAGACAAGCAATGTCATGGGTTTTGTGACTCATAACAAGAAAAAAAAAATTTTAAGTCTTAAGATTATCTTTATTATAAAATAAGTTCCTGGTGAAAATTAGCATGCATTTATGATTTTTGATTGTACTATTGTAATTATATTAATTAATGCTTCTTTTTATTTGATAATTAGGGGATAAAACTAATAGCTTAATTTTTACAGTTGGCCAAGTCTGCAGTTTTCTTGTGAGGCCCTCAGACAATACTCCTGGTGACTATTCACTTTATTTTCGGACCAGTGAAAATATTCAGCGATTTAAAATATGTCCAACACCAAACAATCAGTTTATGATGGGAGGACGATATTATAACAGGTAAGTTGAGAGAAAATTTTTAGTTCTCTTTTACTTTTGCAAAAAATAGTCAAAATCTCAGTAATATAACTATCAGATTCAAAATTAATATTTGACTTTTTAAAATCTAAAGTTATAAAACCTTTAATAATTTAGTAGTAATGTCCAAGAATTCTTTAGGCATGAATATAAATTAATAACTTATTTTCCTCAAATTTATACAATTTTTTGATTATTTATGAACAAGCTATATGCAACAAATTTGCCAAATCATTATCTATAGGACAGCAAAACACTTAAGAAAGGAAAATACATTCTTTAATCAGTGAGTCATTTTAATAGGAAAAAATTTGTTAAAGAGTAACCAGAGTCTTACTACAAATGTAATTGGATTGTTCTCAAATTGATATTTCTTATTTGTAATTATTGGTTCTTCTCATCTTTAAAATTCTAAGTAAACTCTTTGCTTGCAAAACTCAGAATGGATTTTAGTCACTTGATTAGGTAATCTATAATAATAAAAGCATAATATGCTAATTAGACTGTATGTCCTTCCGGATGACCTTCCGGGCGAAGCTGGGGCTGCGAGGGAAGCCCGGGTCCTGAGTGCCTGCTGGTGGCCGGAGGGAAGCCGGTGGTGGCAGCCAGGGGAAGGAAGGCCTACTCTTGCACGAATTTCGTGCATCAGGCCTCTAGTAAGTTAATAAAGAAACCATATGCCAGGATGTCACCTATTTTTTCCTGCATACAGAAAGTCATCTTTCATTTTATATTGACTATAAAGGTTTTCCCTTACTGGATAACTCTAGGTAGTATTGTTTTCCTATTTTGAGTTTTGCATAAGCTAAAACGAAAGTTCAAATATGGTGTCATTCTTTGTTCCATTTAGAATTTCTCCCAATTCCAGCTTGACCTTGAGTATATAGGGATTCAGGAGCTGGTTTATTTGGAAAACACAAAATAACAAAAAACCACCAAAAACAGTTCTTACTGCTTGTGAGAAGTTACTAGACACTTATAAAGCATCAAATGGAAGATGTGAGTCTAGACAGATCTTTTGCACACCTTACAAATAAGCTGCTGAGTACCTTCTACATTACAGTCTGATCTAGACATTCTCACTGCAATTTGAGCTCTTTAGGAAGGTAAATTAATATTCCCCAGCCCTAGCTGGTTTGGCTCAGTGGATAGAGCGTCGGCCGGCGGACTGAAGGGTCCCAGGTTCGATTCCGGCCAAGGGCACATGCCTGGGTTGCAGGCTTGATCCCCAGTAGGGGGCGTGCAGGAGGCAGCTGATCAGTGATTCTCTCTCATCATTGATGTTTCTATCTCTCTCTCTTCCTCTCTAAAATCAATAAAAAATATATTTTAAAAAATATTCCCCATTTGTCCAGTTTTCTGGGGATTTGGAATCTATAAAACTGAATTTTAAACACATACTCTTAACTGAATTGATAAATGCCTATCTTGACACTTTTCTAAAAGATAAAATAATTGCCTTGGCCAGTGGCTCAGTTGGTTGCAGTGTTGTCCTGATGGGTGTTTCTCAAAATCATCAATAAGCCTTACAATAATCCTACATGTAAGATTGCTCCTACTCTTTCTTTTTTTTTTCTTCTGCTTTCATCTGCTATTTATATGTTTTATGACCTAACTATATTATTGTCATTATAAAAGCAGAATATGTAAATGATTTGATGATAAAAATTCTTAGTTTAATACTTTCTAATTCACTACTTGCTAATAAATAAATGGCATTTCTCTGTGAGTTTCTTCTTTCAATCTCATAAATACTTTTATTAAAAATTTAAAAAGTACACTTTTAATTGTTTTCTCACTTAATAGTGACTTTTAAGTAAAATTGGAATCTCTGACTAAGGTATTCTGATTGTAAACCAATATTAGGAACATTCTTATTTTTCTAAAATAATATGACTATTATGATTATATAGTCTGTTAATGTATTCTGGTTATATGCTTTGGAAAAACTTGCAAATAGATCACTTTTACTATGAGACAAATGATAACAATGTAAATAATTTTTATTTTAACAGTATTGGGGACATCATAGATCACTATCGGAAAGAACAAATTGTTGAAGGTTATTATCTTAAGGAACCTGTACCAATGCAGGTCAGTGTTTTCTTTTTTGCAATAATTAGCATTTTATTTCAAAATGCATTTTTGGTGGTATGTGTATGTACACACTCATGCATTTAAAATTGGATTGAATTTAAAACTTTATATTTTTCCTGATGTCATACTTCTTTTTGTAATTGGGGTAGGGGGAGCGGTTAGCACTTAAAACATATTATTCCTAAAAGTCACAGTGTTATGTGAAGTCATGCAGTAAAAACCGCAGAGTGATGGGAAAAGTGTGGTTAGGGGCACAACACTAAAACTTCATCAGTGACACTTAAAAATAAGAACCTAATAAAAATCTATCCTAGTTTTTACACATATTAAGTAGTTAATAAATGAACACTACAATAAATATGGCATTTTACCTTGAAAAAGATCAGGTTTACTTGTGGAAGTCACCATTGGAAGGGTTTTGAATACTATGAGGTGGAAAGAAGAGGATTATCTGAAATAGATGGCATTATAACACCAGATGTGGGTAGATGAGTATGGCATATAACACTCGGGGCACTGAGGGGATCTGAATTGTGTTTTGTATATTCCCCCGTATTTCAATCAGCTGGTTGCAGTTTTCTGCATTTACTGAGTGTATCTCACAAATGTATCTGTACATAAGCAAACAGGACTTTGCTTTATGCTTAAATTGGTTCCTAATTTTTCATTATGTTGGGACAGATTTAAGTTTATAAAATGTCACTTGCTATAAAATACAACAAAACCCACTGTACAGTAGTCCCCTCTTATCCAAGGGTAATATATTCCAAGTCCCCCCAATGGATACCTGAAACTGCAGATCAGCGGTACTCAACCTGTGGGTCGCGACCCCTTTGGGGGTCGAACGACCCTTTCACAGGGGTCGCCCAAGACCATCGGAAAACACATATATAATTACATATTGTTTTTGTGATTAATCGCTATGCTTTAATTATGTTCAATTTGTAACAATGAAATTGGGGGTCACCACAACATGAGGAACTGTATTAAAGCGTTGCGGCATTAGGAAGGTTGAGAACCACTGCTGTAGATAGTACCAAACCCTAATATTTTTTCCTACACATACATACCTATCATAAAGTTTAGTTTATAAATTAGGTACAGTAAGAGATTAACAACAATAAATAATAAAATAGAACAATTGAAACATTATCCTATCTATTAAAGAGGGAATATGCTAATTGACCACTGTCACAAAGATGGCGGCGCCCACAGCCAATAAGGAGGGACTATGCTAATTGACTGCCCAGCTCTCAAAATGGCGGTGCCCACAGCCAGAAAGAAGGGAATATGCTAATTGCCCTGCCCTCAAAGATGGCAGTGCCCACAGCCACAAGATGGCGGTGCCCAGTCCCCTCAGCCTTGCCGGGGCGCTTGCCTCCAGAGTCCCCCAGTCCCCTCAGCCACCCAACCACCCAGGGCCAGCCGAGGCTCAGGTAACCAGGGCCGCCCGAGGCTTGCGCTGCCGACAGTGGCAGCAGCAGAGGTGTGATGGGGCATTGCCTTCCCCTGATCGCCAGGTTGCTTCCAGCCCCTGAGGGCTCCCAGACTGTGACAGGGGGCAGACCAGGCTGAGGGACAACATCCCTACAGTGCATGAATTTTCATGTACTGGTCCTCTAGTCCTATATAATAAAGAGGTAATATGCAAATTGACCATCACTCCAACACACAAGATGGCCAGCGGGGGAGGGCAGTTGGGGACGACCAGGCTGGCAAGGGAGGGCAGTTAGGGGTGACCGGGCCGGCAGGGGAGCAGTTAGGGGTAATCAGGTTGGCAGGGGAGCAGTTAGGCATCGATCAGGCTGGCAGGGGAGTGGTTAGGGGCGATCAGGCAGGCAGGCAGGAAGGTGAGCAGTTGGGAACCAGCAGTCCTGGATTGTGAGAGTGATGTCCGACTGCCCGTTTAGGGATCGGGCCTAAACGGGCAGTCGGACATCCCTCGAGGGGTCCCAGATTGGAGAGGGGGCAGGCTAGGCTGAGGGACAACACCCCCC